TCACTCGGAGATGAACGAAGTTTACGAGAATTGCGATAGGTATGTTCTTCTGAGCATTGTAAACTTTTGGAAGCGAAAATAGCAAAACAATTGCTTCTTACATTCTATTTTTATAACTTCAATCTTATTAGGTAAATGATTTAGGTTTGCTAAGACTTTGGACTCACTACTGAATGACTACCGGCAAATGGTAAAACAACTAGAAGGATATGTTGCAGAAAGGAACTTAACAGCAGATGCAATCAGGTTGTTGTTCAGAGACGTCGAATTTTTCATAAGGCATAAGCTCTCGCTTCCCTTTACAGATGTGAAGAGTTGATGGAATCACTCGACAAAAGACATGAAATTGTCAAGAGATCGGAAATCATATGCGAAATGAAGGGCATTATTGCGGATAATCCAGATCTTCTTAAAATCACATGGTTGCGTGAGACTCTTACTACGCGATTGAAAGCAGTGGAGAACGAGGTCTGTGCAAAGGACCTGCAGTTGATCTTTTGTATTATCTGCTCTTTTAGGTTCGACGATCTGCCGCAGATGACATGCGCAGAGGACTTATAAGCTTGAATGCTTCGCTAGTGGCATCTGCCATCAGAGCATTGACCAATCTGGGCGTTCTTGAAGGTGCTTTTTGCATATGTTTCGCTCACTGGTGAAGATTTGGCCTATTGTTTATTTCAGCCGAGCTAGAGGTGCAGCTATCAGCATCGGCTACTGAGATAGATGCAAAGATTGTAGAGCTATCTTCGAACCCTGAAAATAGTGCTCGGCTTCTCCCGCAATACATCAACCACATCCACTCCCAGCTTGAGCAATGCGCATTATTAGGTAAGAAATTTCTTCACAAAGCCTTGCCTAGTTCGTTTGGGTTGGTTCTTCTTTTGTTCATTTATGATTTTTTGCACCTGAACTTCCAAGATGGTCAAATCGGACGTCCATCTCAGTTTGTTGATCTGAGTGCAAAGCTTTCTTACCTCTTTTGAATTTCTATTGTGTAATTGAGCGCATCCAATAAGACTTGTTTTCCACTCTAGGTAAGCCTCAACTTATGAAGTTTGTTGAAAAATTAGCTCGAATTATTAGAGCTCGGGTTCCATTGGATGCTCCCTTCTCGTTGAGGTAAGGATGCTAACTCGTTTCCAGTACTATCCGGTTTTATTTGGTATGTTCTCAGATTTGTGCAGCAAATGAGCCGTGTGCTCAATTCTCGACCCGAATGTTCTGCACCGTTATTCGAATCACTCCGCCCATTAAAGAACTCCATACTTAGTCATTCCTTGGCACGACTACATCAGATTGTGGAGCAGCATGACTTTGCCACCGTTCAGAACAGCGTCTTCGTTGATATGGTTTGTGGTCTTGGGATTTTAGGAAATTATATGAATACGCTTTGATTTAGTTGGT